ACCCCGCACGCACGCACGCACGCACGCACGCACGCACGCACGCACGCACGCACGCACGCACGCACGCACGCACGCACGCACGCACGCACGCACCCACGCACCCACGCACGCACCCACGCACGCACGCACGCACGCACGCACGCACGCACGCACGCACGCACGCACGCACGCACGCACGCACGCACGCACGCACGCACGCACGCACGCACGCACGCACGCACGCACGCACGCACGCACGCACGCACGCAGCACGCACGCACGCACGCACGCACGCACGCACGCACGCACGCACGCACGCACGCACGCACGCACGCACGCACGCACGCACGCACGCACGCACGCACGCACGCACGCACGCACGCACGCACGCACGCACGCACGCACGCACGCACGCTCGCGCGCACGCACGCACGCACGCACGCACGCACGCACGCACGCACGCACGCACGCACGCACGCACGCACGCACGCACGCACGCACGCACGCACGCACGCAGCACGCACCCACCCACCCACCCACCCACCCACCCACCCACCCACCCACGCACGCACGCACGCACGCACGCACGCACGCACGCACGCACGCACGCACGCACGCACGCACGCACGCACGCACGCACGCACGCACGCAGGCAGGCAGGCAGGCAGGCAGGCACGCAGGCACACAGGCACACAGGCACACAGGCACACAGGCACACAGGCACACGCACACACGCACACACACACACACACAGACACAGTAACACACCCACACACCCACATAAAGATCAATGTAGCAGCCCTTGTCATGGCGGTGCATTTCAACTCGCATGCTTGGCTGAGGCTTTAGCTGGCTTTTGTCTTTGGCACCGCTTCAAGCACTTGCAAGACAAGATTTCAGCACCCTGCTTGCACCTTGCGATATGTTTGCCGCTGATTGGGCAATGGCCAATGGAGGGTCCGAGTAGCGTTTTCACATACGCCCAGCACATGCCCAGGTTGAGACGCAAAAAGCGGAGACTGAGCGTCGCCGCACTTACTTAGAAGAGCTGCCTCGATGGACTTGGTCAGACTTGAGGACTTGAAGTCGAAAGGTTGCATGGGAGAAGTGCTTGGTGAAGCGGCATTTTCTGCCGTGCCAGTGCCAGGACTGACACAACTGCCCAAGACTGCATCATTTGTCTTTCTGACTTCTCTCCAAGCTGTGTGGTGGCTTGCTTGCATGCACAGCGTGCGCATTTGCCCGATGCCCATGACTTGCGTTGCTGGCATTGCCGGCATGCCACCCAAAAAACGCAGGCCGTTTTTTGTGCGAGCAACTCACAGCCCATGCTTTCTGAGGTGCTGAAGCTCGATTGCGGCCACGTTTTCCATGCCACTTGGCAGGGTTGCACCGTGGCGCTTCCGCTTCTGCAGTTCTGTTTGCCTGTGTTTGTTGAATTGAAGTGGGTGGTCACTCTCAGGAGGCTCCGGAGGGAGATGTCTTGTCACCTCCGGGATTGACTTTAAGCACGGCGGTGTCTGACTCCATTTGCTTTCGTGGTCCAGCCGGATTGCCTAGGAATCCTGCATTGGCACCTGGTTGGTGAAGGAGAAGAGCAGCCCTTGCCCATTTCGTTGCCGGGATTTCCTGAAGGATAGCGAATCTTGCCCGCAAGCACTTCCTCCATGCAATGTGGCACGTGACGATTGTGACCCATGGCTGGTTGACTGAGGCGCGGGACTCTGAGATGCCTCTCTTTCGCAGTGGGGTGGGGTGCGGAGCGCGGACGTGCCAACGTCGGTGGGTTGCGTTTTGTTTTGGTTAGTTTGCTGGTTTAAGATTGCAGTGTGACGCACAGCTTGGAACGCTTTGTGCTACTTGAGCAACTCTGCGCAGATGTGCGCAAACTCCCAAAAGCGTGCATGCATGAAGGTAGTCAATGTACATTAGTACATAAATACACAGTGTAATCATGTGCGCTGGTGCGCAGTGTAACGCACATGCCTGCCCTCCACAAATGCAAGTTCTTCCGAGGCAACAATCAGAGAGAGGGAGATAGAGAGAAAGAAAACAGGAAAGACAGAATCCGATAAACAGACAAGTCAAGGAAGGAAGGAAGGAAGGAAACAAGGAAACAAGGAAACAAGGAAACAAGGAAGGGAAGGAAGGGAAGGAAGGGAAGGAAGGGAAGGAAGGGAAGGAAGGGAAGGAAGGGAAGGAAGGGAAGGAAGGGAAGGAAGGGAAGGAAGGGAAGGAAGGGAAGGAAAGGACAGGAAAAGGACGGAAAAGATAGGAAAGGAGTGGAAGAGAAAAGACTGACATAACTCTGACGCTTCCGGCTCAGACCGCCGACGTTGCAGGCCTGCTTTCTTATACGTCGTATTTTCCGTTATCCAATTGCAAGTTGTCCTTTCGAATTTTCCCATTGGAATTTTGCCTTAGGATTTTTTTCCTTTGGAGTTCTCCCAATGGAATTATCCCTAAGGAATTGCCCCTTTGAGTTTTTTCCCTTTGGATTCCTCCCTTTGGATATTTTGGTTTCTTCCTCTCCCTTTGGCATGTTCCCTGTGAGATTTTCTCATTGGAGTTCTCCCAATAGAATTCCCGATTGGAGTTGTCCCTTTGGAATTTTCCCTTTGGACATGCCTCGGAATTTCCAATT